AGCGCGGTGCGCCGGCCGCAGCGGCGGCCATTGGAGGGTGAACCAACGGCAAAGAAAGACCTTTCTCTCTTGTCTTTCTCTCTCTCACTGTCCACTCTGCCTGTCAAAAAAAAAAAAAAAAAAAAAAAAAAAAAAAAAAGAGAGAGAGAGAGAAGACAGGAAAGGTCTTACGTATCTGTGGCTTCAGTTTTCTCAGGGAAGTGATTGGCTGGACGTTCTGCCAGGTTGGAGATGTTCACAGTAAATTAGAATTGAAGCTTGTGGGAGAACTTGTCCTTTCCAGGAGTATTGTAGGAGATTGGTGTAGGATTACCAGACCTGTTGTTAAAGATGCAGGATAAATCTGTAGACGATGGCAGAGTGGTCAGCTGGACCCGGGAGCAAAGAAGGTGCCTGTAGATCAGCTGTGGTTGGGTGAGGGTGCACAAAGGGCTTACAGTATTCACATGTTTCTAGGAGTAATAATTTAAGCTTTAATAAAATTGCTTACCACAGCCAGGCACCAGAGAATGAACTTAACATTCTTAGCATGTACAAAACTTTCAGCTACAAAATGTAAATCAGGATTTCAGAGTCTCTTATAATATGGTAGTGATGTATTTTTCATCCCTGAAACAAATAATCATTTATTAAGAGTAAGTGTACATTCTTTAATTTAGACATTTTTCAAAACACCTAAACTTTAGAGACTTGCCTGAGGGGTGGAGGGGAAGAGGGAGGATGTTAGAGTGTAGTTCATATTTGCAAGTAGCCAAAATATCACATTTTCTTTGATTGAAGACATATTATCTGATTAAAATTCCTGTTGTACTAGATAAATGTTACGACTGAATTTCTTTTAATATTTTGCATGGCATTTAAAAAAGTTTTTTTTTCAGGGAATTGTAATTGAACTTGTCCCAGTAATTTAATTGTATGTAGAAGAAATACAGGTTTCTATGACGTAGTCAAACCTCTTAGTATTTGTGTGTCAGAGGTAAAACAGAAACTGTTAAACCTGTTGAGTTGTTTGTTTTTTTAATTTTGGTAGCACAGCTCTGCAAATTATTCAGGATCCACCACCGCAAGTCCTGAGAAGATGGTTCTTCTCTTTGTCTAGTATCACTTCTTTTCTTGCTCTGGGATGATTGTTTTTCCTTCAGGGAAAGAGTTCAGCCCCAGCCATGGGGGCCTTGATCTGTGTTGCCAGATTTCAGCTTGGGATAAAGTGAGGCTTTAGGCTAGAAGGGATCCTTATAATTCCTTTCCTGTGGGCAGGCATTTGGGGCAGCCGCGAAGATGCTGCTTTGAATACTTGCATCCCTTATTGGAGTGTCTGGGCTCAAGTCCTGGCTCTGCTTTGATTCCAGCCATCTGCTGTGTGCCCCCTGGGAAGCAGCAGGTGATGGCTCAGGTGGTTGGATCTCTGTCGCCCGCATAGGAGACTGAGATTGAGTTCTGGGTTCCTGGCTTTGGCTTGGCTCCCCAGGCTGTTGTGGACTTTGGGGAGTAGATGGAAGATCTCTGTGTGTCTCTTTGACTACCTTTCAAGTAAATAGTAAGTAATTAAAAAAAGAAAAAAGAATTGCTATGCTGTCCCTTCTGGGATCCTGCTACCACCCTAATTTCACAGTGCCTCTGATGCAAATCTCAAGAAATAGTCTTCAGACATGATTCGGTCTGAGTTCATGTGTACGGGTAACTTTCTGAGGGCATGACATCACTAAGCAGAACCCTGAACATTTCCCTCCGAAGCACCTGCATTTAGGTTAGCAACACCTTCACAGTTTTCTCTAAGAAAGTATTTATTTGCTTGTGTAACCAAATGGTCCATTCCGATAGTATTTTTAAAACACAAGAAGTCTGCTACAAAGGTGAATTGATGGTGCTTCCACTTAGTCAGTTACTTGCAATTGAAATGACACTTAGCTAGTTACAAGAAAGACCCCATAAAGCATTCTGTTACAGTAAAGTTGTCCTTCCTCTCACCCATCGAATCTTCAAATAAAATTGTCTCCCTAGTAATGCAGCCAATCTTATGGTGTGACTTTCTATAGAAATATCTGCCTACCCACTCTTTTTAAAGGTTCCATTCTGCTGTGTACAAGTAAAGAATCTTGGCCTTCAAAAAGCTTTTCCACTTCACCCACTGCTTCTCTGCAGAGTTTTCTAGGCTTTCTGTACCTTTTGGAACATGGGCTACTAGAATATCCAGACACTATTTCACTGAACCTAGTTATGCCAAAGACTGACACATACTTCTGGTTGGTAATGTTATGTGGGAATTACTTTTTCTGATTTTAGGATTACAGGACATAATCTCAGTAGTCACACTGAAAAGTAAAAACAGTGTTCCTCTAAAGAGAATTTAGGCATTCTTTTGAATATATATGAAAACAAACGCTGCCAAAATAATCATTAAAACATATTTATGCCTATTTGTTATCAATTTGCTTCCTGTTTCTCAAAGTATGCAACGCATTGAAATATTTACACATTTTAAACCTGAATTTTGATCGTGTGTAGTTCCTGCATTACTAAATAAGAGCAGAATTATTCCTGTGGAATCCATGTTCTCATGCTTAACCTTTTCTGATTTTAAGAAAGATGATCGTTTGAATTCAGCATTTAAGAGGGTAAAGGGCAAATGGTCACTGCAGGTCAGATATACTGTTGGTATTTTTTTTTTTTTTTTAAGATTTATTTATTTAAGAGACAGAGTTACAGATAGAAGGAGAGACAAAGAGAAAGGTCTTTCATCCAATGGTTCACTCCCCAAATGACTGCAATGGCCAGAACTGGGTTGATCTGAAGCCAGGAGTTAGGGGCCTCCTCCAGGTCTTTGGCCCCTGCACTTAGGCAATCTTCCACTGCCTTCCCAGGACATTAGCAAGGAGCTAGATTGGAAGTGTAGCAGCCAGGTCTTGAACTGACACCCACATGATACTGATGCCACAATGGTGCCACTGGCGGAGGGTTAACCTCCTACACCACAGCACCAGCCTCTACTGTTAATGTTAACCATTGGTTGTTCCATACCTAAGACTTCTTAACCCATCTTTATAGAGATGGATGGTAATTTTAGTTACATATAAGTGAGTTGTTTGGTCTAGATGGATTGGAGTGTTATAAGATTTTAATTTCGAGGAATATTATTTCACAATATGATTTTTCAAATAAAAAAGGAGTCACTAGAAAGTAATGAGAAAGAGCAGGATTTTTAGGATCAGAATAATTAGTATGAATAAGATAATGTACAAGAGAGAATAATAGATAAAGGGCTCTTGTGGTGACATTTAATAAATTCTTTTATTCTGTCTTCTTCATATTTACTTTAAAACCACCCTGGTGTTATCAAGTTCTCATTTCTTCTAATGAGATTAAAAAGAACACTGTCAGGCCTGGCATAATATGTGGCATAATAGGTTAGGTGACCGCCTGCAGAGCCAGCATCCCATATGGGTACTGGTTCATGTTCCAGCTGCTGCTCTCTCTTTCTTTCCTTCCTTCCTTCCTTCCTTCCTTCCTTCCTTCCTTCCTTCCTTCCTTCCTTCCTTCCTTTCTTTTTTTTTGACAGGCAGAGTTAGTGAGAGAGAGAGAGACAGAGAGAAAAGTCTTCCTTTTCCGTTGGTTCACCCCGCAATGGCCGCTGCGACCGGCGCACCGCGCTGACCTGAAGCCAGGAGCCAGGTGCTTCTCCTGGTCTCCCATGCGGGTGCAGGGCCTAAGCACTTGGGCCATCCTCCACTGCACTCCCAGGCCACAATAGAGAGCTGGACAGGAAGAGGAGTGACCGGGACAGAATCTGGCTCCCTGACCGGGACTAGAACCCAGGGTGCCGGCGCCGCAGGCAGAGGATTAGCCTAGTGAGCCATGGCACCGGCCCATCTGCTCCACTTTCAATCCAGCTTCCTACTATGGCCTGGGAAAGCAGTGAAAGATGGCCCAAGTGCTAGGGACTCTACACCTGTGTGGGAGACCAGGCAGAAGCTCCTGGCTCCTGGCTTCAGATCAGCTCATCTCCTGCCATTGCAGCCATTTGGGGAGTGAACCAGCAGATGGAAGACTTCTCTCTCTGTAACTCTGCCTCTCAAATAAGTAAATAACTCTTTTAAAAAAATACTGTCTAAAAGGACTTTGGAGGAAAATGATGCTTTAAGTCAAAAAATAATTCTAAAAATTTCTTATAGTATTTTTGTATCTGGTATTTCTGGATTTAGTCTTTATTCTCATAAGTGTAATTATCTAAAGCATTTTTGATTTCTTAGAATTCTAATTTTCAGTTAATGCAGATAGTAAAAATTCCTAATCATGATCATAGGCCATTGGCCCATTTTGGCTTCCTGTTTGGATATAGAATATTAAGTAGAAACTTAGAGACAGTATGGGTTACAAAAGCAAAGAACTGGGTCAGAAAAACTAAAGAATGGTGTGTTCATCCTGCCTGGGTGAAAGTACAATTCATAGAACATTTTAGCATCTAATAGTAATAGACATAGAAGCTATGAAGATTCCTACTTCTTAATTCTTTCTCTGTGTCTTCAATTGTTTCATAACTTTATTTTCCAAGATAATTACTATCTTTGTTTTATGAAATTTTAATTCTAGAGAATATTAGTATTTTGCGTCTATAAAATAATTCTCTAAAGGACTTATTTCTTAAGAATTTTTTTCTTGAATATTCCGGAGTTATATTCTGTATAGCAATGGCTTTCAAATACCAGAATCATCGAAGAAGATTTTGAAAACAGGCTTTGGGGCCCCATCCCGTATTTCTGGTTCAGTAACTCTAGGATGGGCCCCGAGAGTTTGCATTTCTAACAAGTTACATCATGATGCTAATACTGCTGGTCCTGAAACCATACTTTGAGAGCCATTGCAACACAGTGTTGATCCCAGAAGTCTGAGACAGAACTGAATCTACTCTGTGCTGAATGAACACCTTGTTGCTTATAATTCAAGCAATGTTAGGTACCAGCAATGATCACTTAATGTGTCCTTGTCTTTTGTATTTCCCATAGATTGGAGCATATGATCAACAAATATGGGAAAAATCTGTTGAACAGAGAGAAATCAAGGTAACACATATATTTCATTTTATTTGTCATGAAATGTGGTTCATTGAGTTGATTATTCACATTTTATTTAATATCATACTTTTAAGATATGAATTAATATTCTGTATAAATTTTTAAATCAAGAGGGACTCTGATGACATAGTGATGTGTCTTCTGGTGATTTATTTATTTATTTTTTTGCTTTTTAGCATCTTTCTATTTAAAAATTAAATTTCTAATGATTATTTTTTTGTCAGCTTCTTTCCCCTTTCACTTGTCACCTTATACTTCTAGTTTGCTTTCCTCCCTTTTGATGCTGTCATTGCTCTGTACAGTTTATTAAACTGGTAAGTGTTTCAGGACTTTTCCCGCCTGAGTTGATCCTGTGCACATGCTGCTCTGCTTAATTGACGTCTGCTTTTTTGGAGCTACTAACAGAATGACTTGGACACAAAAAGAGTCGCTGGAAAGTTGGTCATGAAAATTTAGGAAAGTAAAGCATTAATTAAAATGTTTTTATAGTAGGTGTTTTTTTTTTCCTGAACATGTGATACCTCTCTTAAGCTGATAAGATATTTTCATAGGCTACCTTGCTAGCATGAAGACTATTTTTAAACTAAATTTGTTGCTCTCGGCACTCTTTGGTGGTAATAAGATATATGTTTTTCATTTGCATAGATACTAATCAGTGTGTTCCTGCACGAGCTAAATTTAATCTGAGCCCAGAAAATGTTATTTCAGTTACTTGGCATTTTGAATTTTGTACAGAAACATTTACAATAGATTGAATACCAGTGTCTGTCTAAAAAATCTGTCAGTATTTAGACAGCTTATCTTTAATAAAGAGCTGCTTTCTTTGCCATTTGTCACTTTTAATCTTTAAACTATTTTTGACAGATTAATCATTTAGCAAGGTTGTAGTATGTGTTAACTGTGGGATGGGGACAGAGAGATGAAATAGATTATAGTTTTTTTTGGAAGGTTACATCCAGAATTACAAATGAGATAAATTCAATTGAGAAGCACGTGTAAATCTCTGTAGGAGCATCCCCTGGGAAGGTGGGGAAAGACATCACAGAGAAAGTGGCTTAGGAACTGGCTCTGGGGAGAATGGGGAAGACAGAAGACAGGCATATGGCAATATAAGTAAAGGAAGAAAGGAACATTGCCAAGTCAGCAGTCCTCAAGAAGTTGGATTTGGTAATAGGTTGGGTGGAGGAAGGAGATTAGGGTAGTTAGGAAAGGAAAATGGAAGTCAGATTATGAAGGGGCTTGAATGTCTAACCCAGGTTTGGACATAATCTGGAAACTGTAAGCAAAAATACTAAATTTAAATTTTAACAAATTCACTCAGGCATCACTAAGTATGCTAGAAATACTAGAAGAAGAGTGAGTAGATTTTTGTTGGATGGAAGAAAACAGAGCAGAACATTGGGAAACTCCAAATAGGTAGGCACAGAAAGAGATGCAGGTGAAGCTGGGAGAGAAGTAGGAGCTCCACGAGGACGCAGTGTGGGGAAAGTATCAAGAAGAGTTGGAGTAGTCAAGCAAATAAGGAATAGCAGAGGGGCCTTTTAAGATGCCTTAAAGCCTTTTACTTTCTTTGAGGAAAAGAAAAATTTTAATTCATCCGTCAGGGGCATTAACTACCTCGGGAGGTTGTATTACCAGTTACAGGACCTATAACTTCCTTCTGAAATGCATCTTTCTTTATGGATTATGCCATTGCTGAATGATAGCTATTGAAGAGTTGAAAAAAAAAAGAATTAAAACTTACTCTTGCTATTTTGAATTACAAGATTCGATTTGTTGACAAGGCTTAAAAACACATTTCATTCTTTTTTTTTTTTTTTTTTTGTAAGATTTATTTATTTGTTTGAGAGGCAGAGTTACAGAGAGAGGAAGACAGGGAGAGAGATCTTCCATAAGCTGGTTCCCTCCCCAAATGACCACAAAAGCTGGGGCTAGGCCAGGCCGAAGCAGGAGCTTCTTCTGGGTCTCCCATGAGGGTATAGTGGGCCATCTTCCACTGCCTTTTTTTTTTTTTTTTTTTTAAGATTTTTGTTTATTTGAGAGGCAGAGTTACAATCAGAGAGAGGGGGAGACAGAGAGAAAGGTCTTCCATCCACTGGTTCACTCTCCAAATGGCCACAATGGCTGGAGGTGGGCCAATCTGAAGCCAGGAGTCAGGAGCTTCTTCCGCGTTTTCTCCCATGTGAGTGCAAGGACCCAAGCACTTGGGTCATTTTCCTCTGATTTTCCAGGCCATTAACAGAGAGCTGGATCAGAGGAGTAGCAGCCAGGACATGAACTGGTGCCCATATGGGATGCTGGCTCCCTGGAGGAGGCTCCACCTGCTGTGCCACAGCACCAGTTCCAGCACATTTCATTCTTGTAACACTTTTTGGTGGAGGCAAGTTATAGTGTAAAACAGTTTTGTGGGCAGGCGCCGTGGCTCACTAGGCTAATCCTTCGCCTGCGGCGCTGGCACACCAGGTTCTAGTCCCGGTTGGGGCGCCGGATTCTGTCCCGGTTGCTCCTCTTCCAAGCCAGCTCTCTGCTGTGGCCCAGGAAGGCAGTGGAGGATGGCCCAAGTGCTTAGGCCCTGCACCTGCATGGGAGACCAGAAGAAGCACCTGGCTCCTGGCTTCGTATCAGCGTGATGCACCGGCTGCAGCGCGCCGGCCACGGCGGCCGTTGGAGGGTGAACCAACGGCAAAAGGAAGACCTTTCTCTCTGTCTCTCTCTCACTGTCCACTCTGCCTGTCAAAAAAAAAAAAAAAGTTTTGTATTTATTCTATGGAAGGTAGAGAGGTGCATTAAAATGTGTTTTGATGTTAATATTTGATAAAAATAAAATATTCTGCCTGTTTAGTGAACACTATACCAAGTGTATTAGATTTGTTCTGTCTCATCAGTTCTCATTTGTCAAAGCAGTGAGCAGCTACTAAGGAAATCAAAGAAAGCCATATGAGAAAATATATTTCTTACAAGTGTTTTTTTAAGACCAATAAAAGTACAAAATCTTTTGTAAATTGCAAATTATTTTTCCTTAAATATTTTAGAAATTATAACTGAATGCTTTGCTTCATTTTCTAACTACCTTGACCAAAACACCTACTAGACTTCAATATTTTTAAAAGAATTTTTTAAAAGATTTGTTTGGAAGAAAGAGAGAGATCTTCCATGTGCTAGTTCACGCCCCACATGGCCTCAACAGCAAGATCTGGGCCAGGCCGCAGCCAGGAGCCAGGAGCTTATTCCAGGTCTCCCATGTGGGTGGCAGGGGCCCAGACACATGGGTCATCTTCTGTTGCTTTTTCCAGGTGCATTAACAGGGAGCTGGATCAGAATTGGAGCAGCAGGGACATGAACTGGTACCTACGTAGAATGCCATCATCACAGGCAGCAGCTTTACCCTCTAGCCCCACCCCCCCATCCCGCCTTTAAACTTTTTTTTAAAGATTTATGCTATTTATTTGAAAGAGATACAGAGACAGGGAGAGAGCTTATCCATCTGGTGGTTCACTCCCCAAAGAGTCACAACAGCTGTACTGGGCCAGGCTGAAGCCAGAAACTAGGAGCTTCTTCCAGGTCTCCCTCATGGGTACAGGGGTCCAAGCACTGGGGTCATCTGCTGCTGCTTTTCCCAGCCGTGTTAGTGGGGAGCTGGATTGAAAGTAGAGCAGCCAGGACTTGAACAGGATGCTGGTGTTCCAGGTGGCAGCTCTACCTGTTACTACACTGACCTCTAGTATCTACTAGACTTTTAAAACTTCAACAAAAGCTTATTGAAACATTTTAGAAGCAAAAAGGAATTGGAAACTAAACAGGATTACTAGAAAGTGAATCTGAGGTTTCTGGCCTTTGAGAGAGTCTGAGTAGCGAGTCTAGATCACTGAACAGAAGCCCTTTCCAAACAAATAGGCCTTTTCAGTTTTGTGCTCAACCTTATCTGTATATGTACTCATTTTTTAAAAAATAAAAAACTTCATACTGTTACGCCATTGTACTATGGAATATATTTAAGGAGTTTAAGTGCATTAAATACAATAAGAAATATTTTGTTTCTTAGGGATTAATTGCATGTGTATTGCTTGTTTCTACTTTTTAATTAGTGCAAAAACAAGTAGTTTTGAAAATTACTTTTCTTTTTCAAAAACTAAGATTTTGTTTTTTACTTGTTCATTTAAAATTTTGAGGGTTCATGATTATTACTGAAAATTATGCTACTTTGTTTGAATGTAGTTTACCCCTGAGTAACTGAAAATATTCAAGTTAAAATATCTATTTCAGTAAAATCAGATTTTATGAATGCTGAAATGTTGGTACTATTTTCATTTCTGTGAATAAAGTTGTTAATGGTAGATATATGAGTGAACTTTTTCTGTATTTCTTTTTAATCCATTTTAGTCTGATGGGCTCCCTTGAAGGGGAAGTACTTTTTTTTTTTTTTTTAATTAATTAATTTGAAAGACAGAGTTAAAGAGAGAAAGGGAGAGACAGAGAGATCTTCTATCTTCTGGCTCACTCCTCAAATGGCCGTGATAGCCAGGGCTGTTCCAGGAGCTTCTTCCAGATCTCCCATGTGGGTGCAGCGGCCCAAGCACTTGTGCCATCCTCAGTTGCTTTCCCAGACACATTAACAGGGAGCTGGATTGGAAGTAGAGCAGCCAGAACACAAAGCAGTGCCCATGTGGGATGCCAGAATCACAGGCTGCAGCTTGACCTACTATATACTACAATGCCAGCCCTCCAAATAAGTTTAATAAACTTTAAAATAGAAAAATGAACCACATATAAACAAGGTCAGGTAGAATGAGCTTGTTGAAAACAATATAGTTACATAAATCAAGACAGTTTACTATTTCTCTGTGGAACTTAGCTCTTGAAACAATCTTTTTAAAAATTTTAGGGATATATAGGGAAATTAAGCTTCAGATTAGTCAGAAAACAATGGCATTAAGGTCAAGTTGTTAGACAAGGAATTATAATGGAAATAAACTAAAGTATGTTCTATT